TTGTTTCTCTCTGTAAAACCCCAAAAATCAAACACCAATGAGTTCCCCAACTCCAGGATATCCTCCATTGAATCCTTCTCAACTAATCCAAACAATCACCACTCTTCTCTCTTCCTCCAAATCCCTCCCCAAATCCACTCTCAAATCCTACCTCCCTCACCTCACCCTTCCCATTATCCACTCCATTCTCTCCTCCCCTACCCTCTCTTCTCACCCCACCACCCTCTTCTCCTTCTTCCAATGGTCTCAATCCCACATACCCTCTCTCTCCACCCACCCCCTCCCTTTTCCTGCCCTCCCCTCTCTCTTATCCTCCCTCTTATCCCATCGCAAATTCAAGATTGCCAAATCCCTTCTCCTTAACTTTATCCCTTCTGATCACCCCCAACACCTTCTCCACCGTCACCTCCTTCACCCCATTTCCTCTTTCCCTCAACCCTCAAGGGATTTGTTGGATACTGCTATTGGTTCTTATTGCCAGTGTGAACAACCCCATCTTGCTCTTCAGATTTTCAAGAAAATGAAACGCCTTCGAATGTGCCCGAATTTGCTGACTTTTAATACTTTGATTAATGCATTGGTAAAGTACCCTTCTACTCACTCTGTTGATTTATGTAATGAGCTGTTCAATGATGTGCTTAAGCTTGGTTTGGCTCCGAATACAAATACTTTCAATATTTTGATTAGAGGGTATTGTTTAGTTTACAAGTTTAAGGATGCTAATGGCTTGTTGAATAGAATGAGTGAGTTTGGTTGCGTGCCGGATAATGTGAGTTATAATACTTTATTGGATGGACTGTGCAAGAAAGGTAGGTTGAATGATGTTAGGGATTTGTTGTTGGATATGAAGGGTAAAGGTCTCGTGCCAAACAGGAATACGTATAATATTTTGGTACATGGTTATTGTAAAATGGGGTGGTTGAAGGACGCTGCTCAGGTCGTCGAGCTGATGACGCAGAACAATACGTTGCCTGATCTTTGGACTTATAATATGTTGATTGATGGTCTGTGTAATGAAGGAAGGATCGATGATGCCTTTAAGCTTCGGGATGAGATGGTCGGGTTGAAGTTGTTGCCTGATGTGAAAACTTATAACACCCTGATTAACGGGTGTCTTGATAATAAGAGAAGTTCAGAGGCCTTTGATCTGCTTGAAGTAATGAATAAGAAAGGGATCAAATGTGATGAATCTACTCATAATACATTGATTAAATGGTATTGCAAAGAAGGGAAGGTAGAAAAAGCTAGAGAGGTGATTCAACAAATGGAGGAAGGTGGTTTATGTCCAGATTGTGTTTCCTACAATACTTTGATAAGTGCATACTGTAAAGCAGGAAATCTACCAGAGGTTTTGAGGATAATGAAAAGAATGGGTGAAAAAGGTTTGAAAATGGATAATTTTTCTCTCAATACAATGCTTCATACTCTTTGTCAAGAAAGGAAACTTGATGAGGCCTACGAGTTGCTCTCTGTTGCTCATACCAGGGGCTATCTTGTCGATGCGGTAAGTTATGGCACTCTTATTGCTGGGTACTTTAGGTGTGGAAATATGGAAAGAGCTCTTAAGCTTTGGGATGAGATGAAAGAGAGAGAGGTAATTCCCACTATTATCACATACAACATCATAATTGGAGGGCTCTGTAAATCAGGTAAAACTCAGCTGGCAATCGCTAAACTCAACGAACTTTTAGAGAAGGGCATAGTGCCTAATGAAATAACATACAATACTATTATTCATGGATACTGTTGGGAGGGGAACATTGAGAAAGCATTTCAATTTCACAACAAAATGGTGGAGAATTCTTTTAAGCCTGATGTATATACGTGCAACATTCTTCTTCGGGGACTTTGTAGGGAAGGTATGCTTGAAAAAGCCATTAAGCTATTTAATACGTGGATTGATAAAGGGAAGACCATTGATGTAGTAACTTATAACACCTTGATTACGGCTCTTTGTAAAGATCAAAGACTTGAGGATGCTCTAGGCCTTGTTGCTGAAATGGAAGAGAAAAATGTCCAACGTGATAAGTACACACATAATGCTATTATTGGTGCACTTACTGATGCTGGAAGGCTTAAGGAAGCAGAAGAATTTTTGTCAAATATGACAGAGAGAGAAAGACCATCTGAACAGCAGCCGCAAATGGATAACAGGGAACATGAACTCACAGCTGAATCTTCACATGAACTAGATCCAAGTTCAATTACTTATTCACAGCAGATTGATGAGCTTTGTGCAGAGGGAAGATATAAAGATGCGATGCTTATCTATACAGAACTTACTCAGAGAGGTATTGCTCTACAGAAGTCTACTTATTTCACTCTGATAAAAGGACTGATCAAGAGGAGAAAAAGTGTATCAAAGACAGGTTGATAATGACACCAAAAGTGTAAATTCTTGCTGTCATGCCCCTAGGCTCTGGCTGAGAATGATGACTTCAGTATCCATCACATACAATCATGCCCGGTATGCAACGCTGCAATGATCCTAGGTAAAAATATGTTCTTTTTCCTTGAGCACAGAGCAGATGAACTTTTCTTACACTTCCGTTTTTTGACTAGTTCGTGAGTAACTTAGTTGATTAAAATATTTTCTTGCTCTTGCAATGACATCCTTTTTCCTATTCGTAAAATGTGATCAGGAAGAAACAGGATGATAAACTCACTTAATTAGAGTTCATGAGTAAAATGTTTTATTAGGAGATGTGTTAGTGCAATTTGAGCTGCGATGCTGCAAAATTGGATTGGGGTCGTGTAACTCGGTAAGTTATAATTGGTTCTGGATGTGCAATTGACCTAACCTGCGTTCCAGTGCGAAGAGATCTTTGAAAGAAAGTTAGCATATGTACTGATAACTCTAACTAAAATACCATTCGGTGAAATTCCACTAAATTTGGGTCTTCATATGAATGTAGTGTCCCTGGCCTAATAATACGAACTTGACAACTGCTATGCATTGGGAAAACCCCTCTAAGATAAAGGCTAGTAGGCTTTGTAGACATCTTATGCGACATGATTCCCAGAATGCAGGATATCATGATATCTATTGTCCTTTCTTTTTTGGTTTCTTTCTTTTGGGTAACAAGATCACCTTGGAAATCATAGCAGAAACATTAATTGCACGACATCTTGCTAGCTTTTCTGATCAAAGAATTCTCTGAATACAATGAATAGCCATGTGGCAAATAAAGCTTTTGGAGCATATAATCATAGTCAAGCTCAGGATGCAAACGACTAAATTCCCATGTGTAAATGATCTCCTAAATTGAACACTAAAATTTGACTTATCCATGGGAAGAAAAAGGAACAAATAAGTTGGGGTAGGTTGGAAAACCATTTGTGGCTCAGGCTCCTTAGCGGTTTCCTACAGGGGATGAGTATATTGTATAACTTAGATAATCTAACTTCGAAATATCTGCTTGATGTGGTATGAGAATCAAAATAACACACAACAACCAACACTAGATAGAAAATAGGGAGACGAGATAGAAGTTACTAGAGATAGAAGCTAGAAAGGATTTAATCATTGGAAGCAAAAATTAAGCTTTCAATTATATGATTGTAGTCCAAGGGAGAAGGGAAATTGAACTCATACAAGGGAATACTTACCCAAGTATTCAAGAGGGTTCTATGGAGATATAAGAGGGTCTTCAGCTCACAAAGCAGCCTAAACATCAATGTTCATCCAAAAACTAACTAATGAACTAAACCCTAATTACTGTTTATAGTAGTAGATAAATCAACCTAAGTAGTTACTATAATACCCTTAAGCTAAAAGCGAGGAAATCAAGGAAATTTGCTTTGCCTAGCTAATCGGCCGCTTGGCCATTTAAATGTAGCCACCCCCTTTGCTTAAAATCTCCACTTTAGTATGTTGTAGACCTTCTATGTTTCTTTCATTGATCTTGTAAAGTCTTCAAAGCACTTTTTGTCTAGTTGAAA